CAAAGTTTGATGCAAGGTCAGAGATTTAGTAAGATGTTTCCGAAATCATTCACTAAGGAGAGGAAAGGTCAGACTTCGTGCAATAGCAGCACCTAGCAGTATCAAGCATCTATCCTGCACCCCAAAGGGTTAAAAAGCAGTGTTTCAAATTTTCAAGAACCACATATGCAAACTTTAAAAACCGTTATCTTGAAAACAGGTGCACACTGATTTTACAAGGTTAGTTTGATCTTGAACAAACACTGCAAGGAAAGAATGTTGTAAATATCATGATTTCAGTTTTTAAAAATACCTAACGTGTCATCATCCAAATGGACAAATGCTAGCAATCTGGTGACTTGGGGCAAACAAGGGACAGTGGCAAAGAGTGGCTCTGATCTTCCAGAGGACCCAGCTTCAGTTCCAGCACCCACACGGTGGCTCTCAACCACTTGTAATTCAACTTTGTGGTATCCAACGCCCTCTTCTGGTTTCCTCAGGCACGATACTTATTTGCATATTCCAACACAAGGACTCACACAACATAATAATAATAAATAATAATAATAATAATAAATCAGATGGCTAAGTAAATTAATGTGGGAGACAGATTGGGAGACACTGCATTCCTGTCTGGGCAGAGCCGACACAGGGGAGTTCTCCACTGAACAGCATGAAGTGAGAGCCGACAGTTTTTCCAGATCTGGAAATGGGTGAAGATCATTTAACCAGACAAGAATTACTGATAGCACGCACACTGGAGATAGTCACATGAATAATTCTTAGCGGCATTCACACAAGAAAAGCACATTTCCTAATATGTCTGCATGTAGCCCCAGCCAGAGGCCAGTGGGTGAGCTGGAGGGGAACCAGCAACACGTTTCTTTTGGAAACAGTTGACATTTTTCCTTGTCCCCAAAGGCAAAAGTGTTCTCATTTTCAAATTGTAAGATCATCAGTGTAGGAAAAGATAAAATAATTGACAGGTAAAATATGAAAACGCTGGGTTCGTTGAGTTTGCTAGATACAAGGCTGATGTTGTGGAGGTGTCTCACGGGCCAGAAGGCGGCTTAATAAAAATCAAAACACGGAAACAAATACTGGCCGTAAATCTGAGGAAACCAAGAGTTTGCTAGAAACGAATCTAATTAAAATGCTTGTGAGCTATATGGTTAAGAAATAAATACTGCAATAAACAGAGACGGGATGGGGCTGAGGACAAGAACACAGTGTTTAAACATGGAATTGTCAGTTGTCTCCAGTCTGACTTGCAAAGCAGCCATTCCAATGAATCAAGTTACTTCTGAATTCCCTTTCCTTATTTTTTTAAATTTACTTATTGTTATTTTATATGAATGTGTGTTTGCCTACATATATGTTTGTATTTCATGTGTATGCCTGGTAACTACAGAGGCCAGAAGGGGGCTTTGGATACCCTGGAAGTAGAATTAGAAACAGTTGTGGCCACCGTGTAGGTTCTGGGAATAGCACTTGGGTCCTCTGCAAAAGCTTGAAATCTTTTCCTATTGGGTTTCTGTGTGTGGTACATGGGGTCCTATGTGGGCTAGGACAGTCCTCTATCACTCACCTACATCCCAGCCTGCATCTTAAGGTCACTGAAGACTCAAGAGGACAAGATTATTTTCAAAGACAAGCAAAATATGATGCCCTGTGTTCTTGTTTCTTTCCCGCTGCAGTGATAAAAACCATGACCAGAAACGACTTGGTAGAGGAAGAGGGTGTGTGTGTGTGTGTGTGTGTGTGTGTGTGTGTGTGTGTGTGTGTGAATGGCTTACACTTCCAGGTTACAGTTCACCATTAAGGGGAGTCAGAGGAGGAACATAAGCAAGTGAAGCAGAAAGCCTGGAGGTTGCTGTTTGCCATGGTTTGCTAGCTTCCTTATATGGCCCAAGCCCACCTGTCTAGGGACTGGCACCACCCACAGTGGGCAGAGTCCTCATACATCAATTGCCCACATTCAGACCCACAGGCCAACCTGATCTAGGTAATCCCTCAGTCATGATTCTTTCCTAAGGTGACTTGAGCTGTGTGAAATTGATGGTTAAAGCCGTCAAGGACACTGTAATTTATCGAAAGCTAATCAGTAGGACCAGATAGTGCAGGGGCAGAGAGGAGCATGAAGCAAGTAGAATGGGGTCCTGCACACACCCACGGCATGGGGGATGGAGAAAAAATGAAGGTTAGACACAGCAGAAAAGCATAGGTATTGACCTCAGTAAACCTTTTCTATCTGTGTGAGCCCTGTGTCTGCCTCTTCAGAAACAAACCACAGCCTATCCTCACTGTGGCTCACCATCTGTGGGGGTAGCATCAGCTTCAGGGTGTGTGACTGAGAGAAAATAGCTCCGGGGAGGATCTGCCTTCCCACACCCCACAGACGTGGCCTAGCCAGTGTGTACTGTAACTTCCAGGAGCCGGCGCTGCCGGTCCCTTGTCCCTGGGGAGCTGTGTGGTCTCCTCTCCAGGACTCATCCAGTCATGACGACTGGCTTCTGTACACACCCACGTAAGATGGATTAAAACCTAATCATAACATAAAAGCAAATTTAGAGCTTTACCAGACATATGGTAAAATATGAACTGAAGTTGGTGAAAGCAGCTTTCAAGGAGAAAAGCATAAGCCATAAATGTGGTTAATTTGGCTGCATTAAAGACTTGGTTAGCTGAGGGCTGTTATTAAACAAAGGTGGGGATTATCCACAGGCAGAGTCACTGAAACGTGCATTATCAGAAACTAATTAGCATTTATACGCAGATCACGAATGATTCCCAGAAAATACAGAAGCCCGTCGTCATGACTGGCTGAATCCTGAAGAGGAGACCACACAGCTCCCCAGGGACAAGGGACCAGCAGCGCCGGCCCCTGGAAGTTACAGTACACACTGGCTAGGCCACGTCTGTGGGGTGTGGGAAGGCAGATCCTCCCCGGAGCTATTTTCTCTCAGTCACACACCCTGCAGCTGATGCTACCCCCACAGTGAGGATAGGCTGTGGTTTGTTTCTGAAGAGGCAGACACAGGGCTCACAGAAAAAGAAAAGGTTTACTGAGGTCAGGACAACAATGAGGCCGTTGGATTCCAGTTGTAGGAAGCCTCGTAGACTACACTCAAAACCATTGTGGGAGGGACAAGGGCCAGTGTCAAGCTTTCTTCTGTGGGAGCAAAAGACAAGGGAGGAAGATGTGGAGGGTGGTTAGGAAAGAGACCTCTGGATGGTTGGGAAGCATTGTGCCCCTATCAGCTGGTAAACAACGAGGCAGTGTTTTTGTTTATGTGACCCCTGTGACTGCACACACACCACCCATAGTGTGTGCCTGCTTTTCTGTAGGTTTGACAAAGATCACTTGTGGTGGTATTTTGTTTGTGCCGTAACAAATAAAATTTGCCCGAGGATCAAAGTGCAGAGCTAGCCACTAGGTAGCCATAGAGGCCAGGCAGTGGTGGCAGACTCCTTTAATCCCAGCACTCAGGAGGCAGAGGCAAGTCGATCCCTGTGAGTTCAAGGTCACCCTGGGCTACACAAGATTGATCCAGTCTAAAAGAGAGACAGCCAGGTGGTGGCTCACACACCTTTAATCCCAACACTAGGGAGGTGGAGACAGGAAGTGATAGGGCTGAGAGAGGAGTATAAGGTGGGAGAAGACAGGAGCTCACGGCATTCAGTCTGAGAGTTCAGTCTGAGGACTTGTAGAGACAGGATACCCCGTTTGGTCTGAGGAGTTCATAGAGATAAGGACTGGTAGCTAGCTGCTTTTTCCTCTGATTGTTCAGCTTTCAGTCCCTAATATCTGAGTCTGAGTTTTTATTATAAAGACCAATTAGAATTCGTGCTACATCACAACAAAAACATCAACATGACGTCAGCGTCATAGTTGGGATGGGAAGTGGTTCTCGAGGCTCAGGTGCAGAAGGTTATCTCCTGCTGCTGGTGTAATTCAGACGTGGTCTGCTCCTGGTGTCCTAGCCTCCATCACTGGTTCTCCCTAAATGTCACCTCGTAGAAGGATCTGGCTGGAGGAAGTGGTATACTGCGGGGAGGAGGGTCCTGGAGGTCTCATCCATATCCCCTTTCATCGCTCGTGGTCCTGGGCTCTGTTTGGAGCCCATTGCTTCACCTCAGGTCCCCTCCAAAATGTTCTTCCCCAGCACATGGGCCTAAATCCAAGGGGACCTGACAAGAACTCTCGATGCAACTTGGTGCTGGAATGTAGCCTTCCTCCCGCTGCCCAGCACAGCTCGTCACAGTAGCTGGGGGCTCCCAGCTCTGAAACCAGAGCAGCTTTGAGCTCTGTGGCTGCTGTGGACAGTGGTGGCTCTCCGGAGGGAGGTGGGGAGAGTGATGTGTCTAGGGACACTTGGAAAGGTCTGTGGATTTTTCTAATTGGCACATTTGGAAGGGTGCTGAAGGCAGCTCGTGGTGACCAGCATGCTCAGTATTCCACAATATAAGACTGTCCCTACCACAAGAAACATTATTTTCAGAACGCCATAGAGATTTTCCGAGGACCCCAGGACAGTGACAGATCCAGGCCGGGGGATTCTACTGTTCCACATGCTTAGATCAATTAACAAGCTCACCTAAATGCAGAGGTGGAAGACACATCTGCCTGGCTCCTGGTCTGGCTACTTTCCTGGAAAGTCTTGTCCCTACAAGGTTTACTGTGGGCATAGTGGCCATCCATACCCACCCTGATAGTGCAAGCATTGTCCACAGTTCGCTGTCAGTAGCCACTGAAGATCACACAGCTTCATCTGCCCATCCAACCGGGGCCATTCTGTTTACTCCTTTGTGTGTTCTAAGGGCTCTGTTGGTCACCATTCTGGAGATTTTTGATGGGCCAGTGAATGCAGGCAGGAAGGATGGATGGACAAAAATTGCTTTAGGAACACAGGGAAGAAGAGACTCTCCCTGCAGCTGGTCTTCTCATGCACCTATCAATCTCACTGAACCAAGAAGTGGGTTTTAAATCCCCTCGAATGTCCCCATTGTGTGTACCTTACCTGGTCACACAGGGTTCCAATCAAACCTTCCAAATCACGCTTCTCATGGAGAGCCACCTGCTTTTCCTCATATTCCTGCTCCAGTTGCATCTCTAGCTGACGGAGCTGTTGGCACAAGGAAGAGAGGTGAGCATCCTTGAATGAGCCCTGGGCAGAAAGAGTCCTGGCTAGGGTTCTGGGAGGAAGGAACATGGAGCCCGTGGCCATAAGTATGTCTGTGAGAAAGCCTAGGAACCTAAAAGCTTGGAACCTAGTCAAGTAAAGGGAAAATTGGCCAGATTGGGGGACTCCATACCCCACACTGTGACGTTTGTATTTATGGCCACTGCTTGGGTATTTTCTAGTCTTAGCATGTTGAGTGTGTGTGTGCACGCACATGCATGCACTCGCGTATGCATGTGTGTACAGGTATATGTTGACCTGTGCGTGAACATGTAAAGGCCAGAGTTTGGTGTTTGATATTTTCTTTTATCATTCTGTTCTCCATGTTATATTTTTGGGACACAATCTCTCTAGAAATCTTGGGCCTGCCCATTGACTAGACTGACTGGGCCTGTGAACTGTCAGAATCCTCCTGTGTCTGTACCCCAGAGCTGGAGTCCCCGAGACTCCACTCACACCCAGCTTTGTACAGTGGGTGGGGGATATCCACACCAAGGTCGTCAAGCTTGTGCGACATGTACCTTACCCCCTGAGCCATCTCCTCCCCGCCCAGCACCCTGAACTCTCAAGGCTGTGGATCACATGGCAGACAGGCTGTTAAGGTGCACATCGGTCTCCCTGGCCTTCTATTATGATGAGCTGAAAGAGACACCAACCTAGGTACGCAGGGTACTTGATGTTATGGGCTGTGTGAGTTCCCTCTAACCTCCAGTGGGAGGGTTAAGGACAGAGGAGGTAGGGCCCCCAACAGGGTTAGTGCTCTTAAAAAGAAAGACACCAGAGAACTGAAATCGCTCTTTCTCCCTCTCCTTCTCTCCACATAAGGATACAATAAGAGGCTGCCATCTACAAGACAGCGTCACCGGGACCTCTTGTGCCAGCACTGTGTCCCAGATCAGTAAATAATGCCTACCCCCATGGAAGCCCCAGGCCAGAGCGTTCTCCCCCAGCTAGCGAGTCTGCAGAACAGCTCTTCATTTAATTTGCGGCTCACTCAGAGTCCTCAGCTAGGACCCAACAAACAGGGCGTCCTGTACTGGAATGCCCAGCGGGAGCTGCTGACTCTACACAAGTCTCGCTCACAGGTGTCAACCCATCCCCTCTGTCCTCCACTTGTGCCTGGAGCCATCTGTAGCCCTGGCTCTCCTGAAAGGAGTTCATGTCCCTTCTGCCACCACACACCCACAGCATCCCCTCAGGTCTAACTGTTTCCTGCTGTGGAGAGGGATACTGGAAAGGGTTACCAGTCAAAAGGAAGATGCTCTCAGTGTCTGTCATGAGAACAAGGCTTCCACCTGCCTTCAATAATTTGTTCATAAAAAGCTGAATTAGAAATAGTCTGGGTCCGCAAGATGGCTCAGCAGGAGAGGTTCAGTCGCCTGAGTTCAATCTCCAGGACTGAACTCGTATAGAGAGAGAACTGACTCTCACATGGTGTCCTACAACTTCCACACATGTGCCACGGCATGCATGTCTACACATGTGTGCATGCAACCACGTGTGCATTCATACACAAACATACACTAAATAAACAAATAGTATAAGTGTAAAAGGCCCAAAAGAAATATGTTGTCTTGCTCTTGTCTGCTTCTAAAAGATAAGAGTGAAAAGTTACTCAGAAAGATACCCCGTCATAAAATATCTGGGTCAAGCACATCCTGGGAAAGTGTGAAGAATGTTTCCCTGTGGTCCCCAAGTGTGATGAAGGATGGGAGGAGGAGGGAAAGGGTGCTAAAACTCCACTGTTGAAGGAAGGGATTTACCAATTCCTCATCCAAACGAGAGCCTGTGGGCCATCACAGCAGAATGAAAATTGGCCACATGTTCAGCAACAGGAACAGAGAGCAGGTGAGGACACTGGCTGCAGACTGTGTTAGAGTGTCAAGTGACAAGGGCTGATGAGTGCGGAGTGGGTGGAGACGGTGCAGACGCCTTCAGGGAAGGCCGTCTCCATCGCTGTGTGTGTGTGTGTGTGTGTGTGTGTGTGTGTGTGTGTGTGTGTGTGTATGTGCACTGGCGATGGTGAAGGAGATAATGGACTGACTGGGACCGCAGTGACCCGGTTCTCAGGTGCAGAACACTGAGGAACATGAGCAAAAAGCGTGGGTCAAATGCAGGGACACAGGGCAGGGCCACTAGAGAAGCCCAATGCTGCTCCCTGCACCTACAGCACCTCTACCTACAGCCTGTCATGTGGCAGAGGTTGTGTTGTGTTAAAATTCTAGAAGCTTCTATGATTGCACTTAATGACTTTGGACCCCAGACCCTTGAAATCCCTGAGGGAACAAAGGTCTCAGTTGGTCATAGAATGATCATGCCTACAGATCTCAGGTCCCAGCATCCTCCCGGTGGGACCTTGGGACGCACTGTGCCCACAGCTCACGCACCCGCTTCTGGCAGGACTGACGCACATCCTCCAGCTCTTCTTCCTGGTCCTCTCTGTCCTTCTGATGCATCTGCTTCATCCTCTCGATCTCCAACTCAAACCGCTGGTGAAGCTGGGGAAGCAAGGATGGAGCACGAAGGTCCACACGTGTGTCCCAGCCCTCCACACCACCCTTGACATCTGCATCCTTGCCTTTCCTTTCTAATGTGTACCTCAGAGTGAAATCACCTCCCTCCTGCCCTGAAATGGCAAACAAAGCAGGCAAACACCCCGGCACAGCCTCTGCCCCTTCCTGAGGTGTTTACTCATCCACCACACTCTCCCACTGGGTTTAGGCACAGCCTCAGAATCCTTTTTGATGTTCTCCAAGAAACCTAAAGATCTTCTGTTTTAGAATTTTGCAGCTGTTGTCTCTAATGTGGAGACAAAGGTAGGGAACAGAAGAACAAATCTGGGCTTCTAAAATGTGGGGAACCTGAAGACGCTAACAGACAATGTGTGTCAGAGCCCCTGGCACAGCCCGATTAAATTAGCTCCTTCCCGCAACCTCGCACAATGGCAGGGGTTATGGAAGGATGATCCCACATGAGGGGTGGTGTGAGGAAATACAATATTTCTTGTTCATTTTTTCCAGCCTCGTGGGCACTCCTGACATCTACAATACCATTTATGTCAAGCTTATATGAGTTAACATAAAACTCCCAGGAAAAAGTGCCTTATTGAGATCAATAAATATCTGCCCAGCCTCTGTGAGGACACGTGCTGCTGTGCAAGGCTCTCTCTCTCTCTCTCTCTCTCTCTCTCTCTCTCTCTCTCTCTCTCTCTCTCTCTCTTGTGACCACAGCATCCACTCGGCCTCTCTTCCCCGCTAGTTTAAGTTCAGGTTGGGGAGTTGGGGGTGTGTTGTCTCCACGCTTAAGGTCACAGTTCCTTTATTTTGCTTGTAACTCTCACTGGTGCTGGGAGGAATCTTCAAGAAATGATAATGGGATTTTCACAAACGCCTGATGGCTTGTTTGTGCTTGCGGACATCACCAGGGCTGTTGCAAAGTGCGCTGCCAGCCTTGACACTCCCACCAGTGTGGACACTGCAGTCTTCACCAATTAGACCTGAGGCTTGAGGGTTGGCAGGGTTCCCATCAAAGAAGGGAACCATCTAGAAAACACAGCACTGGCCTGGGATCCTGCCGACAATGAGCAGACTCAGGAGTTCGTCTGAGTTGCCGCTCTTTAGGTATCACATGACTCTGTGACCTCTGGGCCTTTGCGGGAGCTGTCTGCCTTGCCTGGAGCTCTTGTTCAGCCGATTCTGACTGTGCCTTCAGCTCTCCATTCCTCCAGTGAGTCTGTCTCCCTCAGCCCTTCCCAAGTCCAGATCAACACGCTCAAGGTGCACTTGATCCCAGCAGGACTCTGAGCTTCGGGGAGGCAGAGAGCACTGGATGCCAGATTTACTCCTCCATCTGGTCAGCGTCTGATGCAGATGAGGTGTTTAATAAAAAGACCAGCAAGGAAAGCTCGCTGGGCACTCGTGAGCGTGGGAGACCCTCCAGACCCTGATTCTGCACTGCTCATGTTTGTGTCTCCCACCCATGAGGCCTCAGCCTGTGAAATGGAGCAAGGCTGAGTGAGGCGCAAGTGCTGGCACCCTGACCTCAACGGAATAGATAGATAGAGCCTATCCATCTAGCCATTCATGCCACCTGGCACGTGTTCCCACCGTGGGCAGGGAACCCTCCAACAGAAATTTAGAGCTAAGCACTGGAACTTCCCTCTCCTTGAAAAGCTGGGTGGCTTTCACACCATGAAGAGGAAAAAACACGGCCCCACACTCCCTGTATCTCTAAAAACCAGGAAGGCTAACGCTGATGCTATTGTATAAGGACATGAGTTTTTGTGCCATTGTCTCTCTCTCTCCTCGGTGTCTATTTTGATGGACTATTTTGGGGTGGGTGGGAGCAGGGTCTGTTATTGTATCCCACACTGACCTCAGACTCTCTGTGTAGTCCAGGCTGGTATGGAACTCATGGTATTCCTTCTGTCTCAGACCCCAAGAGTGTAGGGACAGGTGTTAGCCACCACACTGGCTCTTAGCATCTACTTTACCTTGTGCTTTTCTGGTTCGCATTGCTGTATTTAGACTTTTCCTGTTGCTATGCATGTGTCTGCTAACTGCTTCAAGCACCGTGGCTCAGCATGTACCCAGACACCAGATGCCTTCCTCGGACACTGGAGTCGCCTGCTCCCGCAGTGGCTGCATATTCTCTAAAGCTCAGAATGCTCATCTTCCTACTTCTGTGCCCAAAGTAGATGTTTGAGCCACTATGGTCTGAGGACTCCAGTTCAAATACCCCCTGCCCCGTGACTTTAGGCCTCAGCTTCCATGTCCATGAAGGGCATGATCCTCCCATGTCCTATGAGGAGGTCAGGCAGAGCGCAGGACTGAGTCTCTTACGCGGACAGTGATCAATAGTGTGGGATACTTGGTCACTAGTCTGTGCTGAGCATCAACAGTTACACTTGGTGTCATCTTTGACTATAGACAGAGGCACTGAGAAGGAAGAGGGACCAACCAGTCAATCAGCAAACCTTTTCTGTTGGGGAACTTGTATCTTAATCGGGGAAGGCACTGCAAAGTGTGCCTGGCTTGGTGTGGCCATAACCAAGAATAGACAACAGCAAGGGATGACCATGAGGCAGGACTCCTGCAAGGGGCTGGCTTCTCTGAGGTTCTCGAGGGGATGCTGAGGAATAGCAGTGAGGCAGCTCTGTGAGAGAACCCGGCCCAGGGCAGAGCATCCCCCAGACAGGGAGGGTCTCTTTACCTGCTCCAGCTGCTTAATGGTGTTTTCCTGCTGGCTGTGCACCTTCTCCTGCTCAAGGGCACTGGACTCCAGCTCCCAGACCCTCTCTTTCAGGCTGGCCACGCCTTGCTCCCCCACAGAGGCACAGTTCAGCAGCTCCCGCTTCTGCCCCTGCAGCCTTTCCAACTCCTGTTTCAGCTTTGAGGCTTCCTGCTCCTTTTGCTACAAGGAAAGGGGCAGAGGAATAGATGGAGACACATGGCCACAGTCCTCTCCCGGGAGGTCTCTTCCTCTGCTAACAAGCACAGCTGTATGACACACTCAGCACCATTAGACGGGGTCTCCCCATGCAGTGCAGGCTGACTTCATCCTCAGGATCCTCCTGCCTCAGGTTTTCCACGGTTGAGATGACTACCACCTGGGTAGTCATCTCTTGGCCTTTCTCCATTCTTGGCCCCTTACAACATTCCCGGAGACACCAGTATGGTTACTCTTTGAGAAGTCTCGGGGGAACACTGGTGAATGGAGGAGAAGAGGCTTTTCTGGAGCTGGATCTCAGGGCTTGTCAGGGAAATATTCTATTCGTCCTATTGTGAAAGGAAGCCTGGCACCGTGCTAACCCTCAACTGGGGCCAGACTGAGGGATTAAGGAGGCAGAGGTCCCAGGAGTGACCCTCCAATAAGGAAGCAGATCCAGGGCAAAGTCTGCAGGCTTTCTCATAAAGAGGACAATGGCTAGCCTGAGAGTGCACAGCTCATCCTGGCGGGGGGGGGGGGGCCCCCCCCGGGTCATAAGGAGCCAAGGAAGGGGAAGAGCAGCTGATAACACAAACTCCCTCTGTATGGGAGACTGCTTGGGGCAGGCCATGGCTCCTGGATGAGGTCATAACGGAGACAGATTTATTTTCTGCTGAGCCCCTAGAACCTCCCAGGGAACACCCAGGACCCTGTGCCTGGGCTGGAGCACAGTGCTGTGGAGGATTATCTATCTGACATCTTTTGTGGGCATCATGAGGACATGCCGAGAACAGTGGTGCCTGGTGGACCACGGCACCCACTCAGGGCTCTTCCTCTGCCCAACGCAGCAGTGCATGCTGGGGATTCTAGAGGGTCCAGACAGGGTTAGGGTTAGGGGTAGGGGTAGGGTTGCGTGAGTCCCCGCTGTTTACCTCCAGCTGCTGCTGTAGCTGGCCCAGCTCCCAGCGAACTCCGCTGTTCTCCTGGCTCACTTTCTCCCTGAGAGTCTTCTCAAACATCGACTCCCCCAGTGCCTGGGCCAGCTGCAAGTCAAACCTGACCAAGGCAGATTGGATACATCAGGGAACTGCGGTAGAGGAAACTGAGGCAGGGTCAGGTGTGGATAGAATTGTGAGTGTACTGAGAAACGTGAAATGAGACGGGGAACGAATGGGTTTTCCCTGCGTGAGGTTGTTGGGCAGGGGGACCGGGAACAACACGGAGGAAGTTTCAGGTTTCTAAGGGATTTCTATTCAAATATTGAGAACCTGATAAAAACAGAGACAAAAACTCAAAGTATATTTAAATAAGGAGTAAATTAAAGAATACTGGTTTATAATAAAGAATTATTGGATAAGAATTGGATATTAGGGAAGAGGAGAGAGAGAAGAGAGACAAATGGGAGAGAAACAAACAAAGAGGAAAGAGGGAGGGAGAGAGAAATAGAAATAGGAAGGAGAGAGAAAGAAAGAGAGAGAAAGAAGAGAGAGAAGCTAATTCATCCTGTTGGACACTCCTTCCCCCTCCTGGCCAGCTATGCACATAAGTGTCCCTGACCAATGTGTAGATGCCCATGGCTCTATTTTCCATTTCATGACACAAGGGCTAGCACCATCTGCAGATGGCATGCCAGGCCCTCACAAGCCATCTGTTCCTTAGGGGACAGGAGGTGACCTACAGGTCATCAGAGGAAGGAAGGACCTCCTGCCCTTCCACAAAGGTGACCACCGTGGGGTTAGCCTTCTCATTTGTCCTGGCTTTCCACCTCATCAGTGGGGAGCCTCCCTCTAGAGAGCCTTGCTAGGCCACAGTGAGGGTGACTGAGCCACACACAGGAAGCCCCAATGTTCCAACAATCCTGGTCATGGACATTAGTGCCAAGGACTCCCTGTGTAAGATGTCACACCAGATGTCCTTCATCGCCCCAGGCTCCCAAGAAAGCCAATCAGAGAGCTCTCTTTAGAAAGCTTCTGGAACAGTCCAGAAGCTTTCTGATTGGCTGTTGGTGACATCATTTCAGAGATGCCGTCTGCTGTCCCTGAATCTAGAGGACAGTGGTGATCAGGCAGTTCCAATGTCCTGAACCTTGGGCTGAGGTTTCTGCAGTCACTAAGACAACACGGCACATGACAGCAATAGGGAGCCAAAGAAGGATACAGAACAGCGGAGGGAGGTGCATGTATGAAAGAAGAAACAGACGTTCAAAGAGGAGTGAGGGTTAAGCCACAAATCCCACAGTGGCAGAAGTGAGCTTGAGCCAAGCTTCCCTAGCCTCATAGCCAATCTACCTGTTCATGCCCTGGGGCAGGCGAGGTAAGACAGCAGGGGGAAGAGAGTGACCAGTGTTCCAGAGAAATTCTTAACACGACACCTGAGGCCAAAGAAAGGCTCCTATAGACCCAAACTTCTGGAACATGCGTGCTCGCATGCACGTACACACACACACACATGTGCGTGTGCGCTCCTATAGACACAAACTTCTGGAACACGTGTGTGCACGTACGCGCACACACACACACACACACACACATGAGCTCCTATAGACTCAAACTTCTGGAACACGTGCGTGCACACACACACACACACACACACACACACACACACACACACACACACACACCATGGGTTTGTTTAGGCCCCAATCTCTATAGGTGGTTCAGGGTCAGGAGGCTGACATGAGGCTCACTCTGAGAGCTCCATCACCTCATGGAATGAAGCTTTGTGACCCGTGCATGGGGTATCTATGGCAACAAGGCTCCAGCACCAGATAGAACCATTCTGGACCACTTGAATGCAGAAGCCAAGATGGGGATGGAGAACTCTAATGGTGTGGAGCTGTGAATGATGGAGGCAGCTGGGCCTGCAATTGAGACGACCCTGGAGAGACACACAGGAATGCCTCTGATTTCTCGAACATTCTACCACCAGAGATGCTCAGCCAAAATGTTCATTGAACTGAGATTTCAGTCACCCCATGGGCTCCCCATACCTCTACCTGGAAGCCCCATGTGTGTGATCAGCAATTAAACATCAAAAGCTACTTCTAAATCAATGCTAATAGTGGAGTGGAGGTCCCCATAGGTAGGTCAGTTCACAGAAAGAGAAAAGCAAGGATGAGGGATGAGGCCCTTTCCAGGGCTCATCATGCAAGTCCCTTGGGCAAGGGAATCCATTAACCAAGTGTCCCACACCAGTGCCTCACTGTCAGAGAGATGATACCCTCAGGAGGAGGACCAAGAAGCTGGTGACTAGGAGAAAACTGGGAGGTACCAGTGTGTTCACCACTTAGCTTATAGCTACAGCCTGTGTCAGGGGCATTTTCCAGGGACCTATGAGGCAGTCTAGGATGCCCCTCAGATACCAACAGTCCCACGGCTCAGGTGCTTGGCATTGGGCAAGGTCTATAGCAAGTGGTTGACACGGGGCCACATTCCCGGCGTGCCCTTGTGCGCAGGTGGGCATGGAAAAGAGAATAGAACAAATGGAATAGAATAGGTCAGAGAGAAGAGGCAGCCTGCCTTTGAGAGAGTGTGTTAATGAATCTGTGCAGGTCATCTTTGGATAAAGATGACACTTCAGGAAGCTCCAGATAAATGAAAGCAAGAGACAAGAGTGGAGCCAGGCTCACGCTTTAATCCCAGCGTTTGGTAGGCAGAGGTGGGTGAATCTCCGAGTTTGAGGTCAGCCTGATCTTCTGAGCAATTTCCAGGATAGCCAGGGCTACATAGAGAAACCCTGTCTCAAAAACAACAAACAAACAAACACCAAGAGAAGGGAGGGGGACCCAAAGGAGATGGATAGGGAGAGAGAGAGCAAGAGAATTAAGAATCCATCATGCCGCCTATAGAATGTGACCCTGCTTGCAGCTACTTGGAAATGATGCTGCTCAGAAAAGCCATGGCTGACTCATCTGGGACATTTATCAACACATCATCATGAGTATTCTAAATCAACATACATCATGAGTATCCTAACAGAGGTAGCATTGCAGCCACTCACAGCTTAGGAACTCACTACTGTGGCAGCAGGCCCTCCTGGACCCCTTTACCCTCACCAGGAGGGAGTCCCAGACTGGACACAGTCAAGCTCAAGGATGGAGAGCCACAGCTGCTAGAGGGTGTGGGTGTTGGTACCAGCCCCAGCTTCTCTATTGCTTGGCCATGTCAGCAATTGCACAGGAACGCGAGGGCAGTGCCCAGGCACACCATCAAAGCTGCCAACACATTTATGTGTAAGGTGCAGGTCCCGCTGGAACTGCTTCCCATGCCCTCGATAGGGTGAGAACTCCCATTTGGAGGGGTGTTCATTTCACTTTTCTCACCCCCCTTTTCATTGCTGGGGATGGGCAGCTGAGTCTACTCTACTTGGAAGCACTGAGCATGTCGTATTTCCCAGCATGAGGGAGAGACCTCATACCCATCTACATGGACATCCGGGACCCAGAGGCATTGAATGCCCAGCTCAAACTTGCGCAGTTAAAAGGGAAAACAGTCAGACATGAATTGCTATGGTCTCCTGAGAGGCAACGGATTCCTGCCCATCACACATCACTCCCCACAGCAAACCCCTTTGATGAAAAGAGATGCTGGAGCCAGAGAGGGTGGGCAATTTCTCTGCGGTCACAAAGTCACTGGGAACAAGGCAGGCTGGGTAACAGTTCCTGGTTGGAGTCCTGAGAACCTGACAGGAATTCCACATGGGAGTGGGAATGGGGTCTGCACTCTGTGCTCAGGGATGCCCAATAGGAGTGGGAGGGCTTTGGAAGAGAACCCAGAGGCCCCTGTGTACCCGCTCGCCCTGCGGCCCACCCTGCTGGGACATGACTCACTTCTTCTGCCTCTTCTCCAGCTCGTGGTTTCTGCTCTGCTGGTTCTCCAGCAGCACTCGAGTGTCCTCCAGGTCCCAGGTGAGGTGGTGGCACTTCCTCTTCAGCTGGTGAGCCGTCTTCTTGGCCCCTTCATACGCTCTCTGTAGATCCCCAAGCTGTGGAAAGAAGGGAGTCGAAGGCTCCTGGGAATTTCCATTTCCAAGGTCAGCGCCATGTAAGGAAATGGATGCTGGGAGAGAGGAGACCTTGGAGGAGTTCCTGTCAGCTCCAGGAAGCTGCTTCCCTGAGCCCCACTTTGCCAGGAGGTAACACGGGGCGAGTGCACCAGCCAACCTCCTGCCCCACACCTGGAATTCATTTTTCCCACCCTACTCCGTCTGGACACTTGGACCAGCAGGAGACTGACAGATCTGTCTTCTGGAGAGACTGTCGAGGACTAGCTGCAGAGTCACCAAGAGGGCACTTCCAGCCAATCCGAGCAGGCATCCCAGAGGCGGCCCCTCAGGAACAGGCACCACATGGTCCCTGGTGCAGGCTGAAGCCCCGGGACTCACACGGGGCCATGAACACCTTCCCCAGAACACGGCTCCCCCCACAGTGTCCTAGTTTAGATCTGGGGAAGAGTGGGACTCAGCACACATGCTTTGAAGAAGTGGCCTCATTAAAAAGGCTGCTTTAAATAAGCAAAACTCTGAGTTAATGAGGCCTGTAATTCTAAATTCAGTATTTGAAGGCAAATGGGATGTTTTCTTATGTTCCGCTGCTCGGAGAAGGTTTCAGGTTTATGACTTTTTAATGTAGTGTGGATATCCCCTTCCTTAGGGAAAGTGACCCGAGCTGACTTTGTAATTTGTTGTTCCAGACCCAGGCAGCCTCCCTCTTTGTCACTCTGCGTGTGGACACCCAGAGCGTCTCTGAAGAGTCACAGTACTGTGTCCATCTTGGTAGTGACTGTTAAAAGCTCCACCAGCGACACCCTGAGGGCCTTGTCATGCCCGTCTTCCACGGTGGTCATGCTACAGCCCCCTCCATAGGATATCACAGTTTATTTTTTTCTCACTTTAAAAACATAGTAGCAAGATCAGCCGAGAAAAGCCTCCACCCTGTGGCCCCTTCAGCAAATGGGAGGGACCGAGAAATAGATTCCTCTACTCTGCAGGGTGTATTGCAGACTTGGGGGAATGGCTGAGGGAGTCCCACCTTAGGCTGTGCTAGTCACGGCTTTGGAGAGACTGGCATCTGAGGTCTTAAGCTAGGGTGGGGGTATGTAGACCGAAGAGAGTCATCCTGCTGCAGCACATACAACGATCCTGGGCCGATGAAGGAGGAGCATTTGGGGAGGAAGACCTCAGGGTGGCATGGGAAGGGGCTTGGCGGGAGGCTCAGATCTTCCAAATCTGTCCTCCTGACAATCTGAAAGGGATTGTTTCATCCTTTCAGACAGAGCCTCATTGGCTCAGGCTTGTCTTGAACTTGCTAAGAAACCAAAGCAGGCGTCAAATGCCTGATCCTCCTGTTTCTACCTCAAGTGTGAGGGTAGCATGGGCTACTAGGCCTGGCTTGGGATGGTAATTTGAAACTGACCATGGGAGGAGTGTTTCCATCATGGAACTTGGCCAACAAGGTGCACTGTGGGAGTTTGTGCCATTTGCCTTCACCCCATGGGTAGAGTGACAGCCGAATAGCAAGTGCAAGCCTGATGACCCCATCCATCCAGAGAGGAGGAGGGTGATCCATGACATTGCTACCAGTGAGCTTCGTCCTCCAGGAAGAAGTGGAAGTTGGGCCTGGTGGTGCCAGTCAGTTATCCCCTGCTGGCTGAGGAAGCAAGCTCACAAGTTCAAGGCCACCCTAGACAACACAGCAAGAGGCTGCCTCGACGCAGAGTACTTGCCCAGCACGTCCAGGGCAAGGCTGTGTTCAGTCTCCAGCACTGAGAAATAAGGGGGTGGAGTGGGGGATTCCAGGGGGTTAGATATGCAGTTGACACAAAGCCAGGGCAGTAGAGATAGACACCAGCATCATGGCAGCCTTGCCAAAGGTGAGAGCAGTCACTGGATCCCAACATGTCCTCAAGGAGGGATGTGTAAATAGACAGACAGACTCAGGAGATGGACTTTAGGCTCAGACCCTCAAAGAGAGGCACCCAGAGGGGAGGAGAGGAATGGGGTGCCCCAGCCTGGTCTGTGGTAGGGAAGCCATGGATAAGAGAGGAAAGGATTTTCCAAGCAATCTAACCCAGGCCTCTTTCAAGTGTATTTCTGACAGGGGATCCCTCTGCAGTGATTTGAATGAAAACTGCCTCATAGACTCAGAGGGAGTGGCATTATTAGGCAGTGTGAAATTGTTGGAAGAACTGTGTCACTGAGGGTGGGCTGGGAAGTTTCAGAAGCCCAATCCAGGCACAGTCTCTCTTCCTGCTGCCACCTGTGGATCAGGATGTGGCTCTCAGCTACTGCTCCTGCACCATGCTCCCTGCCATGATGATAATGAACTAAACCTCTAACACTGTAAGGGAGTCCTCAGTTAAATCCTTTCTGTTATAAGATGTGCCTTGTCACGGTGTCTCTTCACAGAAATACAACACTGACTCAGACAGGCGGGCAATCCCAAGGGTGTGCTGTAGTGACTCAGCTACCTAAGGCCCGAGTACCAGAGATTTCCACTGGAGTCAGACTTCTGACAAGGATAGAGATCCGAGGGAGTTGGGCACCCTTCCCCAGAACACACTCCCTGCACCCCATGGGGACAGCATTTATTCCCATAGTAGAGGTCCCACTCCCTCTTTCCCCAGGAGCAGACAACACAGTGGCCTCTCACGATGGAGGGGAGAAGACACCAGGCCCCAGGCCTCAGGAGTCCTGACCCCACCTTCTCTCACCTTCTGCTCCACCTCTGTCCGGGCCTTCATCTCGGAGTCCAGCCTCTCCTCACACTGCTGAAGGCGCTTGCGCAGGAAGTCATTCTCCATCTGAGCACAGTCCAAGCGCATCTGCCACTCCTCCGCTGTGTGGTGGGGTCGAAGGGTGAGCGAGGCGGCAGATGTGGGCTTCCCCTCACTCCTTAGCCCTGCGCCTGCCACATCACAGGGCCCATGGCCTCTGAGCCTCAGCCTTGGCTTCAAGGTAAGAGCTGAAGTCCAAGTTAGAGAAAAGGCCGGAGCTCCCTCCAGGCAGCCTGCCCTGAGCACCTCCAGCCGTCTAGAGTGTTGAGCTCACTGCTGTAAGGTTGGGTCCCTTGAACTCTGCATGGTTCCCAGTTGTTCCTCCCATAGCCTGTAAGGCAGGGAGATCTCTGGCCATAATGTGTTCCCAGCATTGTCTAGAAGCTTTTCAGACAGAGGGAAGGTGCATTTTCCAGCTGCCAATGGACCTAGCACAATCATGGGGCAAAGAGAGCCATGCCCCTGGCCACAGGGTAGGTGGTAGACTGTTATCATTGACTTCTGGTTGAGTTATTAGATAGATGAATGGGTAATCACTCAATAAACCTGGCCATGAGGTACCTTGGGAGATGTTATATATACTAAACCTCTTGCTTTGGTTTAAAAAAAAAAAGTAAGCATTGGTTGAACTGAAACTGTTTGGCTGAATTAGGGATTGTGGTACCTTATCATTTAATAACCAAACAAGAGATAGTGTTCCTTAAGTTAACGGAGCTGGGAAAACATCCTTAAGAGGTAGTCAGCCCAGTTCTTTGTCATCTAGGTGCCTTTCCATCCATCTCCATCCATCCGTTACCCAGTCATCTGTCCATCCACCCACCATCCATTCGTCCCTTAGCTCATCCGGCTGTCTATCACTCATCCATCCACTGAATCATCTATTACCCACCCATCCATCCATCCTTCCACCACCTACCTATCAATCCATCTATCCATCCATGGACTCTCATTCAATGCACTGCTTTTTACCAGTACAGGAGATAATTGCATTAATAACAAGTCGTTTCTACTCAGCTTCTCGTATAATTTAATGAGAGTGAGAAATGTGCAGAGAGCGCTACAAACTAGATTTCTCTTAGAAAAAAAAAAACTTACAAGAATCCAGAAGAGGACTTATATCTAGAAGGACTATGCTAGGACATACTACAATGTTGAACAAGCGGTGTTTGATAGATAGATAGATAGATAGATAGATAGATAGATAGATAGATAGATAGATAGATAGATAG